TAGTCTTTGCTCCATGATGACTTCTTGCCAAAAACCTCTCTGAGTGTCACCAATCCATATTCTCTTAACATCAGGGAGAGTGACATCTCTTTCCACTAAGATTCTTGCACTGGCTGGTCTTGCCTTGTTAAAAGTAGCAGCATCCACCTTCAAAGGTGTACCCAAAGTACACTCTATATTGAACAAAGCATTCATTTTAAATAAATGCAAAGGCAGCTTAGGTAGCTTAAACCAAATAGGTACTGCGGGAGGTTCTTGTGATGGATCATAATCAGGTGACCATTTTAAGATTTTCATTTCTGTTCCAGCAATTATGATGGATTGCTTTGCAAAAATTCTGGCATAGTCCTCCTCTTTAGTCAGCTGGATTAGGAGGTGTCTACCATCCAACAGCCCTAGCTTCCATTCTGAAATCTTCAGGGATTCAAATCTTTCAAAGTATTTTCTTACTAGTTCCATCTTTGGATGTCCCAAGCAAAATTTACCAATTAGGGTGAACTGAATCTCCAAGTTTAAGTCAGCAAGCTCATTTTCAGAAGAAAAAAAAAGGCAGCAGGTTCCCCATCTTTATTACCCACAGGGTGAATGCAGGCAGCAGATCCTCTTCCAGCAACACTCTTCCAATCCTCTTCCAGCAACAGTGTTATGAAAGTCCCGAGGGAAGACAAGTAAATTAGGATCCAGAAAACGGGAGGGAGGACTACCCACCACTCTAGCATAGGTGACTTTGGTCCATTGCAAGTTTGTTTCCAAGTCATTAGGGGTATTCATGTTTTACCAAACCAGGACCCCAAAACAAGGAAGGCTCCAGGCCAAAACAAACACCAACAAGGGAGGTAAACAACAAAAAACCAGAAAGCTGCTACCCAAGCAAGTCCCAAAGGAAACAAACCACAGCTTCCAAGCAAGTTAAAAGATCGCCAAGGAAAGACATGAGAAGAAGCAGAGGAGCTTGAGCTGCCCAATGGAACAGTAATAAATTCACAAAAATAGCAAGAAACCTCAACAGCCCCAGCAAGGCCACCAAGAACAAAACAGAAAGTTCCAAAAAAAGCCAAAAAAGCTTCTTCAA